TGGTGCATTCGTGAGTCCAAAGGGCATGCCATTATATTCGAAATATCCATACCTGGTTCGAAACGCAGTCTTCCATTCATCTCCTTCTTTGATCCGTACTAGATTATATGCTCCTCTTAGATCTATTTTTGTATAGATCTTAGCTTGATTCAACTGGTCAAGGAGTCCTGATATCAAAGGTAATGGATACCTGTTCTTGATTGTGATCTTGTTGAGTCCTCGATAATCAACACACATTCGTAAAGATCCATCTTTTTTCTTTACGAATAGAATTGGAGCTCCTGCTGGAGATTTTGAATGGCGTATGAAATTCTTCGCTAAATTCTCGTCAATATATGTCTTGAGTTCAGCCATCTCATCTTGCGATAAACTGTAAATTGGTCCAAATGGTGGCTGAGTTCCTTCCTTGAGGTCGATTGAACAATCATATGGACGATGCTCAGGAAGAATATCTGCATTCTTTTTCTCAAAAACGTCTTGATACTCTTGATATTGACTTGGAATGCCACTTGAAGTCTTTACATTTTCAGAAATAGGTGCAGCATAAATAGCAAAAGTTGATCCTTCTTTTGCTGCGTGTATAAATGCTTTTGCACCTATCAGTACGGGTTTTACTATACTAGACTTATAATTTTTTACTTGGTTCGTAGAACTATTAATAACTCTTTTGAAAAAGTCAAGTTTACGCGAATTCCAATCTATTCGAGGGTTATATTTTTCTAGCCAGGATAAACCTAAAATAACTGGATTGGACGGGGATTTAATTATGTTAAAAGCTATGTAGCTATCATGACCGTCTATTGTTACTTTTATAGGATGAGTTTCATGAGTGACATCTCCAGAAGACAAGGGACGACCATCTATGACTTCTACATGTACTGGTTTAGGTTTCTGTACATAGGGTATTTTACGACTTTTAACAAATTGTTCATCTAAAAAACATGCTGAGGCTCCCGAATCTAATAAAGCAGAGGCTTTGTAATTCTTAGGTCCTAAATATAAGTCTATTATAAAACAAGGAGAGGGTTCTGAGGAGAGGATAGGACCTTCATTAGGAATTGTACAAGGTTCCAGCTGCACGGTCCCTATTGTAGCTGGACGAATCCGTTTTCCGACATGTTGTCTTCTTTGACCGTCGTACCCCTCATTTTATAGTTGCGTCGTTTCTTTGGACAATGTTGAGCAGTGTGCTTAGGTTCTCCGCAATATAAACATAATCCTTCTTGACGACGACGAATCTTTTCTTGCTCAGTTAGGGGTTTAAAACGTACCGCGTCAATTTGCATGTCTTCTACTTCTGAATGTACGTTTGGCAAAGATGTTGATGTTGCCATTGAGTAATAACGTTGAGGTTTCCGTGAATGATTCTCGGATCAAAATTCGAAAAGTCGATTATCACATTTTACCGCAAAATCGATTGCTTGACTCAAAGTTTGAGGATCAGGTAAGTTGAGCATCAATTTCTTTACTTCGTATTGCAATCCATAAAGAAATTGACTGATGAGTGCAGCATCATCCCACTTGATGTCAATTGCAAGTTGTCGAAATTGTGAAGCATATACTGTTACTGAGCGATTTTCTTGTCGCAGAATTCGGATCTTATTTGTTGCAACACGAGTTGCATCGTGTTCACCATACATAGATCGAAACTCCGCCAAAAAAGCTTCCAAATTGTCCAATATTGGATTTCGTTGTTCAAGAAAAGACGAAAACCACGATAATGCAGAACCAGAAAGTAGAGTGCCAATAAACCTGACTTGTGATCCTGGAGTTGGATAGCTTTGCGGTTGAAGTTCAATTGCCAATTGTACTTGATTGATGAACCCTCGAAACTTTGATCTCGTACCATCAAATTTCTCAGGTAAGGCAATTCTTGGTTCTCTAGTGTTTATAGGGTGTTGTACAATTGGAGAAGGAACGTGATTTGTTGTAGATGTTGAAGCAGCTCCGATCATCTCTATATCTCCACTTTCTGCTATTCTTGTTCTTTCCTGTGTTGGTGAATTGAGTTGATGCATCGCAAGCATTAACTCCCTCATTTGCTCTTGCATTTGTGCTATTGCGCTCTTCATTTCAACAAGCTCTGCCATAATGACACTAAGAAGAAAAATTTGTTTGATATTGCTCAAGACAAAAGAAAAGAAAGACTTGATAACAAAGAAGATACTAAGAACAATATCAGTTTAGAAGTGGGTAATCCGCAAACTTCTAATACGCTTATGTCTTGTCAAGAGAAAGGGGTAATCCACTCTTACTCAAGAAAAAACAAAGCTCTGATATTGTAAGTGTACTCTTGTCAATATGTCAAGGACAAAGACTCGATGAGAAAAAATATACACCAAAAGGCTATCTCGATATAATATAAACAAGTAGGTATATTAAAAGGAAACTGGAATGGCTATTGCCACAAGACAAGAAACTAAAGACTCTTGAACCTGGACTAGAAGCAAGAAAGGAGTTGACAAGAGTGAAGAGGGCTTCACTCTTGCCTCTATATATACTATCTAACTAGAAGCCACATGGCGATGTTCTATAAGACCTCCAATATATGTTGACTTTCTAGGCCACATGCCTTTGCTTATAAGGCAAGTTTTCTATGGATGGACCACGTAGTTAGCTTGTTCTTTAAGCTTCCAACATGTATGGCACATGGCTAACTTGTTGACCAAGTTTCTAGCCTAAAAGTCAACTATAGACTCCTATAAAGTCAAAGCAGTGTCTATGAAGCTTCTAAGAAGCTTTTCTAGAAGATATTACACAATTAACCTACTTTTATCTACTTTTACATACTTTTATCTATTCATATAGGTAATTATATGTATGTCCGTGACAGTGATGCATGATCAATTTGTTGACCAAGTTTTTAACTTATCAATCAATTACAAGCACATGTAAAGTCAAAATTATATTTATGAAGCTTTTAAGAAGCTTTTTTAGAAGATCAAATTAATATATTTTTACCTACTTCTATCTAATTATATAGATAATTATTGGAATAAATATATATATCGATAACAACATCATATTATCTTTCAGTGATTTTCTAGCCTTTTGATTGATACAAGAGTATATTGATCTTTTAGTCCTTTGAGATTCATGTCATTGACACTTTATTGTCAAAAACCTTCCTTATTCACCAACCAATGAGACCATTGTACATGGAGGATACCTACTGTCACATAGTAACATGAATATATGATAAAAATGAAAACATGGATGTTGTTATTGCTCAAAATTTTGAGCAATGTGTTGATATTATAGTTATTAGTGTGTGCAAAATTTGGAACCAATTGAACGGTTAGATCAAAGTGTATGAAGGTTTTTAAGGGTCAAGGTCTCAAAAATTGAAATTTGAAGGTTGGTGAGTATTTTTAAGATTTTTAGCAATCTATTGATTGAATTGAAGTGAATTTTTTTTGTATGGAGATTAGACTTGATCTTCTACAATTTAAGTGTATTTTAGAGGAAATTTAATAGTTCAAGAAGGAGATATTGGCATTGGAAGTTTGACATTTAGATTGGATTAGGAGGCCAGCCAATACCCAAGTAGAATTTAGAATTCATCTTCTATTTGATAAGTTTGATCTTCTTCAAATTTTGAATCCTTGTTGCCAACTTAGTTTTTGTAAAATCTTAAGCAAGATCGATGATATAATTGTTAGATATTGAGGTTCTAAACTGCCCCAAGGTTAGATTAAATTGATTAGAGTAGGTTTAGGATTTAAAAATTGGTTAGGATTTAGGATTTGTTTAGGATTTAGTTAGGATTTGACTTAGGATTTAAGTAAAAACTATTATGATTTTAACTAGGATCAAAGTGAAATTTGATTGGAATTTATTTAAAATATATTTTAGGTTTTATTTTAATATTTCATTTGAATTTCTTTAGGATTTCTTTATGATTCTTTCATGATTTCTTTGAGGTTTCTTTGGATTGATTAAAGCTTGATTAGCATTGTTAAGGTTTAATTGAAATTATTTAGTATTCTATTAGAATTAGAATCTTGATGCAATATTCTTTCTACCTTCCACAACCAAGTGTTTAGTACATTTTCAAGCAAGGCGTCACGTAATACGACACCACCACTTAACTAACCAATGGGACCGTTGCACATGGAATTGCCTACTCCTTAATCACTTACAATTATAGCAGATGTTTATCTTCACACAACAAAAATTAGTCAATTAGACGCTTCTATTTTTTGGAGATGTAAGTGTAGCAATTTGTAGTATGCGTGTAGCAACTTGAAATATACTTGTAGCCTAAGCCTAAAACTTAATAATTCAAGACATTGTAGCTAACAAAAAAAATACATTTTTAGGATAAATATAAAATAAGTTATTTATTTATTTTTAAATATGGCTCAAATTAGATCAATTAGGATCACCAAATAAATAAGTAGATGGATCAAAAAAAATCCATTAAGTAGTATTTATTTCTTCTATTAAAGATCTATATCTATTATTTATTACTAAATTCTTAATAAAAAAGCTTTCAATTATTATAAAAATATTTTTAAAAAATAAATAAAAAAAGAAAAACTATATTTTATAATTCATAATTATATTTAAAATAGAAAAGATCTTAATATAAATTTTAGGCATATTGGCTCAAATGGGGCCATATATTAATGTTCAATGTAAGAATCTTACTACCTATGATGCTAAAATTTGTATAGAAATCAATCATCCACCATATTTATTTAAAATCACACAATATTCAAACAATATTTTGGAGAGAATTTGTACAATTATTTGCTATAATATTTGTATGTAATCTATTCTCAATATAAATAACACACTTTATCTATTTTGCCACCATCTTCCACGTCATTCTTTTATCCTTGCTCGAAGTATCTACGTGCAAAGCATGGGCTGAATGGGCTGCCACGTAGGATAGCGCTGTTGAATGACATCTGCACATGGTTGATCATTCATCCGTGTATTCGATGTTATACACAATCGGTATACTTTAATCCGCCACGTGTGGGCGTTCGAAGCCCATTCAGAGAGATTGCCTCCCCTTCTCCGCCCCCGCGAAACCCTCGCCTCAGTGTTGGTGTGTCTGTCTCCCTGCTTCGAATCCTCTCGAATCTGCGCTTCGCTTGCACGCCGTGACATCGCTCTGCCGCATTCTAGCAACGTGAGAGCGGGGAGCTGCTGATGGTAGGTAACCCTCTGGTTTTCTCTTTTTTTTGGTTTCGAAATGCACTGACACCTCGAGAGCAACTTCCAGAGAGGCGATGTCTTACAATGTGTTGCAGAGGTGCAGTAGAAATGGTTCTACTCGTCACCTTGGCCTGCGGCAAGCACATACTTAGCTCGAGCGTGACGATGGAAACTCAATTTACTCCCGCGTATTCTGTTCTTTGTAGTTCTCTTACAGGCTCTTCATACTACTAATATCAACCAATAACAGAATTGCAACATGACTTCTTTCAGGTGAGAATCGGTTTGCACAACATACAATGCGCCGAAGTGAATACCTCAGGATGACATAGTGAGATTCGGTCTTCTCTTTTTTTGGTTCCGACATAGTTACCGACAACGTGAATACCGCAAGATGTTGCAGCTTCTCGTCTTGCAAATCCACTGTTTCCTGCAGATTCCTGGTGAGCACCCTGAATTCTTCATCTACGTTGACGATGGCCTGCGTCGTCAATATCATAGCCTATCCACAGAACCCAAATAATATTTGTGTTGCTGGACCTTCCGAGGAAAAGTTCAGGTAGATTTGTAGCAATACCCTCTGTTTTTATTTGTATTCTTCTCGTGAGATAGTTGGTTCGTACCCCTGATCCAAAGTGGAGTGATTACATCGACTCTTGCAGGTACTCGCTGCAAGGAGCAACATTGATCACTAAAGATCTCTTTGCATTTCCTGGACATCAACTATTGCTAAGTTTTTTGTTGTATAATATGATGATACAAAGCTAGAGCCTGCCCCACAACTCTGTGTGCAAGCAAGCTAGCAATTCCATCTGTAAAGCTCCAACGATTTTAATTTACTTGAGGTATGATCAGATACCTCCCAGTGACTCTTCTAGAAGTCTTGTTAGCTTAGAGTCGCGGAAAGAGACGTCAGTAATGTCGGGATCCGCCCTTGTGCTAATGCACTTTTCTGTGCATGACATAGGAACATGATCAGACTGATTGCTAAACTTTTGTTGCACTGCTGTCTTGCTTTGAAGTCAACTTATAATGCATGGAAAGGAACAATAACAGATCGAGTAAAAGAGCTCGAATATAGGAACTAGTTAGTCTTATCTAGCAAGATGAGTGGTGCTATGTTGAAACGTTCTAATTTAATGCTTATCAAAGATATGAGTCAATCTTGTGTCTATGAAACATGTTGTAGGATTGACATTTAAATTAGTTTGATCAATGTTAACATTGTCTTTGTGTGAAGGACTTGTGATAATCAAACATTTCAAGAATCTATAATATTTTCAATAAACAAAGGAGTATACTCAAGAATCAAATACTAGTTATTTTGTAAGGTATGAGCATCAATCACTATGATTTTTATGATTTTGTATAAGTCATTAGACATTTGAAATGAACATTTATGTATTATTTTATTTGTATGTACAAATATTTGTTATGTTAAAAATGATGGTAAAAAACTACTAAAAGAATTATAAATGTAAGTAGAAATTGTTTTTATTCATGTGAAATATATTAGTAGCAGCTTCGTTATTTTGATGAAGCTTTTGGATGAATAAAAACTATTAAAGTGTATTAAATTTTGTAATAAGATTGTAATTATGTGGTTGAAGGCAAATTACACATATCATTTAAATATTTATTATGGCTTATCTTTTGAAATTCCTAGTAAAGTGTGTTTTAATAATTTGGTGATTTTTATTTGCTTGTTATACATTGGGATCTCTAATTATTAAAGAATTTTATTTCAAGGAAGAAAAGTTGATATTGGAGATGTGCTCACTCAATGCCATATTTACAACAAAGAAATTGAGGTATTATTCAGGACCAAATTCTTCTTGAATAGAAATCAATGTCATAATATCTACAAACCACTTGGCCATGTTATTAAAGTATTTGAAAGCTTTAAAACTTGTAGCAATGAAAGAAATAAGTATGAACTTTTATTTTGTGAATTTCAAGATACAACATTTAATATATATAAATTGATAAAAAATTGTAGGCAACAATGTTGGTGTAAAGCAAGTATCTTTTAAATGAAAAATAAAGAAATGTTTAGGAAACTATTGTGTGACTTGAAGATTTATCATGATTTGGGAGTTGATCTACTTTCAAATGAGTGTCTAGAAAAGTTAGAAGACATTATATTTATATTGTTTGATTTTTCTACTTATGAAGAAGTGAAATATGATTGTAAAGAACTTTATAAGAGATTGGATTATGCAAGTAAAGATATGTAATTTAAAGATTATGGATTAGCAAATTCTCTATTAGATAGATTAAAGGACTTGCAATGTGTAGAAGAAGAAGAATTGAAGTTTTTGGTAGTATCAAGTGATATCAAAAATTTAGAACTTGGAAAATCTATAAATGATGGTTCTTTTGGAGAAGTTTATGAATCAAGGTGGTTTGGACTTTTAAGTGAAACAAAAGTGATGGATGTTGATTTGAATACAATGTTCGGGCAAGAAGTAAGTATTTTAGTTAATTCAAGCCATCTAAATGTGATCAAATATTTTTATGATGCAAAAAATAAAGTAAATGAGATTGATGAATCTTCAAGAATGAATATTTTAAGTCATGAAGTATACTTGGTGATGGAATTGATGCAAGCCAATTTGAACAACATATTAGAAGAAAAAAAGTCAATACCATATTATTTTCTTAAGATATTATTTATCAAATTGTAAAAAGGATGTATTTGCATGACATGAATATTATTCATTGAGATCTAAAGCTAGATAATACATCATTCATTATTACAGATGATTGTAAATTTTTTAATGGTTTTTAATATGTTGTGAAGTTCATTGATTTTGGTTGGTCAAGGACTAATGTAGAAAGGAATTCAAAAGCTAAATAAAATAATTGTATATATGGAACATTAAGATATACAATTTTAGAGATATTAAAAGGTATAATGAAATCAATAAAGATGTGTGCTTTTAAATCAAATGTATATTCTTTTGCAATGACATGTTCTAAGATTCTCTTAAGAAAAGATCCAATTGATAGTATAATCAAGAAAGGTAAATTATTAGAAAGAATTGAAAAAGATGAAAGACCAAAGTTATCTTCAAATTGTGGTGGTCTTAATGAATTGATCCAAGAATATTGGACTTTGGATCCTTTATAAAGATCAAGTTTTGCCAATATTTGTAAGAGATTCATAAAATTAAAAAAAATATATATGTAGTAGAAATTAATATAATCTAAACTTCTTATTTTGGATTATTTAAGAAAAAATATCATCAAAAGAATAAATCAAAGAATATGAAAGTTGATATTATATTGATAAATCTTATATTAAAAAGTCTCTTTGATATTTACATTGAACTAATTTGTTTGAATTCTAGATATTTTTATTTCAATTCATATTCTTTGATGATGTTTTATTATCAATATATAAATATATAATTAGACTATTATATTAGAATCTAAGGCATAGGTTGTATCTTTTATTAATTTTATGATTTGATTGCTTGAATAAGAAAATAAACATGAAGACTAATTAATGGATCTAAAACAATATTTGCTAAAAATCAAACAACTACATAAGGGAGGAATGATGGCATTGTGTTTTGTTGATATAGGTGGAATAAGAAAGACTACATTAACAAAGACTACATTTGATGATATGAAACACATGTATGATGTATTGTGCTTTATTGAAAGTATTGAAAATAAAGATGATGGTTTTTCAACAATTTGTAAAATTTTAAACCAAATAAATTTTCAATCAAAATCAAAAGAATTTGAAAGAAGCTCAAGAAATAATAAGATGAATATTGATAAGCAAAAAATTCATATTGATTTTAGATGGTGTGAAGAGTAAGAATTATATTAATATTGTTGTGCTTATAAATGTCTTGTATTCTAATAAATGTAGCATATTAATTATGACAATACAAAATTGGAAGGTCGTAGAAGACTATCCTAAAAAGTTTCATAAAATTGATGTTAAAAAACTTGATGAAGATACAAGTTTGAAGTTATTTACAACTTATTCTTGTAGAAATTATACTATATTTTCTAAAGAATTTATTGAGGTTGGCAAGCAGATTGTAAAAACATGTAATGGACCAACTTTGAATTTGAAAGTTACAAGGTCATTTTGAAGAAGACAAAAGAAATTGAGATTTTGAGGAAGAACTTTTCAAAAATTAAAAAAACAAAGAGATATAGACAAAAATGAAGAAGATAGCTATCATAAGCTTTGGGGTATTTTGAAGATAAGTTTTGATGCCTTAAAAATTAAAGAAAAAAATATGTTTTTGGACATTTTTTGCTTCTTTTGTAATAATGTAAATTAGGATGGTACAATGGAAGAAAGAATATAACAAATATGGGCCCACACTAAGAATGAAGTTAAAAAATAAGATTCAAATAGTATTTTAGCTATGTTGGTTCATCAATCAATAATAAAAATAAATAAAGATAGAGTAATAAAAGTGCATGATCAATTATAAGATATGAATCAAAGAACTGTTGAAAAGAAGAAGAATATAAAGGCACACAAATTTGGCATGTAAATATGGTGCTAATAGATAGATTAATAAAAATAAAAATAAAAATTAATAATAAAAGAATAATTAAAATAAAATTATTAATAATAAATATTAAATTAAATATTAAATATTTTAATATTTTTTAAGATTAGATTTATATTTTTTGTGTGATGATGCAAATTATTTGAAAATTTGTATAAATTTTAAGTATCTTAAAATGATATTAATTGCAATTTTTAATTATTCTTCTTTTATATTATTAAATATTTAGATTATATTATTTTAATAACAAAATAGGAAATATGCTGCAAAAATATATTATCAAAATATCTTGCTTTTCTTCTCTACAAATACTCATATTTACTTGATAGAAATTCAAATCAAGATATTTTTGAAATATGTATTTTTTTAGCTGAAAATGCTAAAAAGTTAAAAGTTTTGATGTTAAGATATAACTATTATTGCATCTATCCTTATAAAATAATAAAATTATTATCTACAATACTCAATAAAGATTTTTTGAAAAAACTCAAAGAATTAAGCATATTAAATCTAATAGGATTTGAATTAGATAAAAATCTACTAATAAAATTATTGCAAATTATTATATTATTAGAAATTAATTTAGATAGATATTATCAAAAAAAATAAAAATAAAAATTTATTTTTAAAATAAATAAATTTTTAAATTTTTAAAAAAATATAAAAACCATACCAAATGAATTAATACATCTTAAGTCATTAATAATACTTAATTTTTAAAATTTCTTAAGTTTAATTAGCTTTTCAAATAAATTGATAAATCTTCTTTCTTTAAAAATGCTTAATTTGAATAGTTGCTAAAGTTTGATGCACTTGCTAAATGAATTTGAAAATCTTTCTCCTTAAAAAATATTTAATTTTAGTGGTTTCTCAAGTTTGATAAGCTTGCCAAATAAATTGGCAAACATTTTTTTTTTACAGAGGCTTAATTTGAGTGGTTACTCAAATTTGACAAGCTTACCAAATAAATTGAAAAAACTTTATTTTTTGACAAGAATTAATTTGAGTAGGTGCTTAAGATTAAAAAATTTACCAAATAAATTTTAAAAAACTTTCTTCTTTAATAAAAGTTAATTTGATTAGATGTTTAAGATTAAAAATCTTACCACATGACTTTGGTAATCTTTCTACTTTGACAAGACTTGATTTTAATCATAGCCTAAGCTTAACAAGTTTACCAAATGACTTAAAAAATCTTTCTTCTTTAATAAGATTTAATTTGAGTAGGTTCTTAAGATTAAAAATCTTACCAAATATATTGAAAAAACTTTCTTTTGTAACATGACTTGATTTGAGTGATTTTTTTTAGCATAACAAGCTTGCTAAATGACTTTTCAAATCTTTCTTCTTTGCAAATACTTAATTTGAGTGGTTACTTAAGCTTGAGAAGCTTATCAAATAAATTAAAAAATCATTCTTCTTTGAAAAGAATTTATTTAAATTGCAACTTAAGCTTGATAAGTTTGCCAAATGAATTGACAAAACTTTCTTTTTTGATAATACTTAATTTAAGTGAATGAAAAATCTTGAAAAGCATGCCAAAAAAATTTAAAAAATATTTCTTTTTTGAAAATATTTTATTTGACTAATTTCTCAAGCTTGATTAGTATGCCAAATGGACTAACAAATATTTATTCTATGAAAGAATTTATTCTAAATAGTTGCTTAAGCTTGGCAAGCTTATCAAATAATCTTGCAAATCTTTTTTCTTTGACAAGACTTGATTTGAGAAGTTTCTTAAGCTTAAGAAGCTTGCAAAATGACTTTAAAAATCTCTCTTATTTGACAAGACTTGATTAAAGTGGTTGTTTAAGTTTAAAAAGCTTACCAAATAACTTTACAAATATTTTTTCTTTGATAAGACTTGATTTAAGTAGTTGTTTAAGTTTGAAAAGCTTGCCAAATGACTTTGCAAAGCTTTCTTCACTAATAAGACTTTATTGGAGTAATTATTCAAGTATAATAAGCTTATTAAATAAATTGACAAATATTTCTTCTATAATAATATTTAATTTGAGTAATTATTCTAGCTTAACAAGCTTATATATTAAATTGGTAAATTTTTCTTCTTTGAAAATACTTGTTTTGAGTGGTTGCTTGAACTTCATAATTTTGCCAAAAAAATTAACAATTCTTTCTTCTTTGAAAATGCTTAATTTAAGTGGTTTTTTAAAAATTAACAAACTTCTAAATAAATTATCAAACTTTTTTTTTTTACATATACTTAATTTGAGTGGTTTTTTAAGCTTAACCAGCTTACCAAAAATATTAGCAAACATTTCTTCTATGACAATACTTAATTTATAAGATTGATCTAACTTAACAAGCTTACCAAATAAATTTAAAAAATCTTTATTCTTTAAAAAATCTTAATTTTAGTAGCTGTCTAAACTTAAAAAGCTTACCAAATGAATTGGCAAACCTTTCTTCCATGATAGTGCTTAATTTGAATGGTTACTATAACTTGAGAGGATTCCCAAATAAACTAAAAAATATATTTTTTCTTTGAAAAATCTTAATTTGAGTGGTTGCTCAAGCTTAATCAATTTGCCAAAAATATTGGCAAACATTTCTTCTATGATGATACTTAATTTGAATAGTTACTTCAAGTTGAAAAACTTTCCAAACAAATTAGATTTTTTTTTTCTTTACATACATTTAGTTTGAGTAATTGTTTAAAATTGATAAGCTTATTAAATCAATTAAAAAATCTTTCTTCTATGACAATACATAATTTGAGTTTTTTAAGTTGATAAGCTTATCAAATAAATTGCCAAACTCAAATTATGTATTGTCATAGAACTTAACTAGTTCCTTCAACTTGATAAGCTTGTCAAATAAATTGCCAAACTTTTCTTTTTTGAAAATGCT